TTAACCACATGTAGTATTTTTTTTTTGATTAATTGTTTGAATTATTTCACATTGAAAAAATAATCTAATCTAATATTTATATAAATATAATAGGCGTTTTTGGAGAGTATTCGGAGCGCCACGTAAGAAATATATTTATTTCGACCAATAAGAAGAAAGATTTGTATTTTATTTTTGAATTAAAAAACTATGTCGCCACCTAGATAAAAGTAACGAATTAGATTTGATATATCTAAAATTTTAATGCCACGTAGATTATAATCCACGAATTAAATTATTTTAATGAAAAGAAAAAGTTAAAATATAGAAAAAGATAAATTTATTAATTCAATACTACGAGTATAAGAAATCCAAAAAAAAAATATTAAGAAATATTTGAATGATAAACGCTTATAATAAAGTTTGATACCTATCATTATAAGATAAATTTTGATAGTATTTATGATAAGAAATACAAATTGTTCGTTAATTTTAATTAAATTAAAATTTGTGATACCTACCATTATAAATTGACACATCATACGACACAAACAAAATTTCATATCAATAAAAAACCCCATCAAGTGAATTTTGTGTTAATAATCTTGTGTTAATTTTTTGTCATCAATGGCGAGTAATTTTTAGCTTATTTTTAAAGTCCTATGTTTAACTTAGTATTTTTTAATTATTACTTACATTATATTAATTTGGGATACTCAACGATTATATGTTTATGTTTTATTTACTAAATGTTTTTTACTTGCAAATCTAACACATTATATGACAGAAATAAAATTTTGTATCAATACAAAATCCCATCAAGCGAATTTTGTATTAGTAATTTTGTGTTAGTTTTAGGTCATCAATGTCCGGGTAATTTTTAAAATCTTACGTTTAAATTTATGTTTGTAATTATTAGTTACATTGTATTTATTTAGGATACTTAACGATTATTTGTTTATGTAATGACATACGATTAGATGTTGTATACTTAATATATGGATGACTTTGGTTATTTTTGGAGATGATGAAAAAATTCCAATGCATAGATTTGATTTTATATCGCAACAATTTTTCATTTATTGGTAAATATATTGATTTATTTTATATAAATGTAAAGATTTAATTTATATCAATTTCAGTTTGGCTAACATTTTTATCCATTGATGTAGTAGGTTGGTTGTGGACGAGGTTGGTGATTCTATCGAAATAAAAGATATGGTAAAACAATGAATAATGATTTAGGATTTAAATTACTAAAAATTTATCATTTCACATTAAAGATTTTATATAACGGAAAAAATATCATATTTACAATTTATTTATATTTAATAAATTCATGATAAATTATAGTAAAAAAAAATGAATATTAAACTTTTGTAATTTTGTCTGATATTATTAAATACAATAAATCAAATAATTAAAAATCTTAAATGAAAAAACCGTGCATCGCACGGGCTTCCATCTAGTAATGGAATAAAGCTATTGCTTATTGTATGACTAGCAACAGACGAGGTCTTGACTTATCTATAAAGATCGAATATCGTATATGATAACCTCAATAAGTCAATGTGCAAATTTTTCCTCCCCAATTTGTAATGCCCTTTTACCAAAAAGAAAAGAGAAAAAAAGATAAAAATACACTCTTTGTTTTCGAAATATGTCCTCATCTACTATAATCTCGATTAAAGAGTTTAAAATTTGACTAACATTATTAACGATTAAAGAAGCACATTGAAAAATTTGAAAAACCAAACTGGCTTGGTATAATTGGTACAACATCAAAAGAAAAAAGGGAGTATAAGTTGAGCAGCAGTAATGGTTTGTAGTCATTTGATTTTAAGATAAAATTGTGTATAGGATTTATGTGTGGCTAGACTCTCACCTATACAGCTATATGTATATATAAGGTTTATTAAGATAAGATAAAATCTTAAAATAAAATGATAAGGGTTGATAAATTTAGATAACATAAGGCCTAAGATAAGTTTATACAATAATGTATGTTCGTTCATATGAGATAATTTAGTGTATAGTAACGAGATCATAAAATAAAATAAGTGAAATTCAAGTGAATACAACCATATTAGCTTACGAAACCCATTATAAACTTATTATTAACTCTTTGTTCCAAATCTAATAATACAGAACAACACAACACGCATACATATGGTGCCTTGGACTAGCAAATAAGGATTTCAGCCTATGCTAACAAAAATTGTCTATATCATAAACATTTAACATAATTATTACTCTGCCTCAAAAAAAAAAAAAAAAAAAACAAAACAAAATAAAAGCATAATTATTACTCCGTATACTTCATAATCATAAGAATTTGCATTGCTACAATATAGTACGAAGTATATATTTGCGGAATAAATGTTTTGGAGGGGTACATTGCCTATTTAATTTTTATTATAAGGTGCCATAGCTCCAATGGTCTATCATTCACTTACACTGCTTCGATTGATCTCGCAACTGTTGGAATTAATTCTTCATGATCGAGACGAGAGCGAACTTACTTGTAATTTGTGATAATGGATATTGGAGGACTAAATGCCTAATATCATAGAGAGTAGTTGTCCAAGAGCATTGGACCATTTCTTGTTGAATGAATAACTTAGCGTTTCAACTAAATTTATCTACCCCTCCTAATTTACTAGCTTTATTTAAATGCTAAATTATTCGTGCGGTTACGCCAAAAAATTCAATTATATGGAGTATGTAGGACTGTAAGAGTGTAGGATTGATAGTTGATAACATGTTTGAAAATTTTGAGAACAGTTCCGAAACCAAACACGATCACAAATTTGACGACCCATGCCTTCACCCATAGTACTAGCTCTACAATAAACATGATCCTATACACATCATGTGCAGCCTAGGTATACCGTAACAATTTTGTGATATTACGACATTTGAGTGAAATGCTAATGTTGACCATTTCTATATCTTCCATAAAGAAGAAGATTCTAACATAAGCTACATAGGAATATGATACGTTCACCATGACATTTTGATTACAAATTCATGAATCATACCAACAACATACCAAAGTTAGAAATAAATAACGCGTAGAAGGAACCATCCCAAAAATAAAATTTACCACTAAAATAAAAACGCACTTAATTTTTTTTAAAAATAATGGTAGGGTAAATTGACACAGACGTTTTACTGACCAATACCAACTATCACACGTGTTGCACTTAGATGGTGATATTTGTCACTTTAAGCAGCAAATTTCTCACGGAAATTCATGTTCCTATTTTTTACTCTTTTCTTAACTCTTTACACGTGTCATATGTATTTGTCGCACGGCCAGTGCTTCATACACTTTTACATTTTGTATTTGCATGCAAAATGCTAATTACTTTAATATAATTAATTTAATGAATATAGGTTGAAGATTTCAAAGGTAGTAAGAAAAAAATGGTTAAAAACAAGTTAACTAACTCTTACGTAATTGACAAATTATGCTAGAAACTTCCTATGTATGCACTTTATTTGACGCGGTTAATTAATAGTATTACACGGTCAATCAATAGCTTATATTATAATCCAATTTAGTTTTAATATCTTCGCTTAAATATTGACAAGCATAATTTTGTTGATATTAATGTTAATGCTACAGCATGAATTTTGACTTAGGCAACAATAAGTACAACTGTATAAGTATAATTCATTAATTTGAGAAGTACAACTAAGTATATGAATTTTGTTCTATGAAAAATAAGTTGTATATAGACATATGTAAATAATAAAAATTACAAGTTACTGTTGTGAAGTATGCATTTTGTTGATTTGTTAAAAATATTAAGTTGTTTTTCTTATGAATTTATAATCAAATGTTACTATTTTTTTTTTAAAAAAAAAAAAAAAAAAAAAAAAAATTGAATCGTGAAATGTTAGACAAAGTGGAAAAAAAAATTATAATCACCAACCTACTACATCAATGGATAAATTGAACCGTGAAATGTTAGGCAAACTGAAATTATTATAAATTAATATATTTACCAATAAATGAAAAATTGTTGCGATATAAAATCAAATTTATGTATTGGAATTTTTTCATCATCTTCAAAAATAACCAAAGTCATACATATATAAAGTATATAAAATTTAATCGTATGCCATTACATAAACAAATAATCGCTAAGTATCATTAAAATAATTTAATTCCTGGATTATAATGTACGTGGCATTAAAATTTTAGATATATCAAATCTAATTCGTTACTTTTATCTAGGTGGCGACATAATTTTTTAATTCAAAAATAAAATACAAATCTTTCTTCTTATTGGTCGAAATAAGTATATTTCTTACATGGCGCTCCGAATGCTCTCCAAAAATGCCTATTTTATTTATATAATATATATATTAGAATATGAACCTTGTCAATTTAATTCAACTTAAGCATAATTTAGAGGATTTTTCTAATTATTTCGCCATCTATATCTAAAGTACATATTGGGGTCATATAAGGTGTATTGTATACTCGCATACAAATGTCTAGATGATCAGCTAATTAACAAACTGCGTAATTGGGTGGAGTCGTGAGTGGTTGTACATTACCATTAGAATTAAATTCCGTATGAATCTTTAGTCTGCGTAATTGGTTGGAGTCGTGAGTGGTGAAACGGTGTATGAATCTTCCCAAAACTCTAATAAGATGATTACATATTTACTATCAAATTTTAACCTATAAGAAGCATGATTATTAGTTCCATAAAAGGAAATTACACTTAATATATCATTTCAATTGTTGTGCACTTGTACTAACATAACATACTATATATAAGAACTTCTAATTATCATAGAATCTTCAATATTAAGGAAATTAAAGATTATTTTTGTAATCATATCTTTTTACCTAAATTGATTTTATATTCTTTGAAAACAAATACGAGTAATAAGATAAAGGGTTTTACTATTGAAACAATCAAAAAAGATATTATTAAATCTAAAATAGTTGGAAAGTAAGATAAATTTTACAAAAGAATATATGCTCAACCATAAACAAAATTAAAATTTTCAATTGCTAGTTGTACCTGAAGTCATAGAGACAAAGTTCACCGCATTTTCCAACTCATTCCACCGCCATAAACCCAAAGTCACCTCCTCCCACCTTATCACACAATCCCTATAAATACATTATTCTCTTCCTTTGGAATCTCATAAACTTTCTACCCTTCTCATTTTATAACTTTCTCTCACTTAAAAACTCAACAAAAAAATGGCCTACACAAAAACTAAAGTATTCTTCTTACTTTCTCTCTTGGTTGCCACTTCTATGGCCCAAGCACCCGCACCAACACCCACCACCGCCCCCGTAACACCCACGGCCGCCCCTTCACCCGCACCAACCGCCGCAACACCCGCCGCAACACCCGTATCAGCACCTACAACATCCCCTGTTGCCACTCCCACTGCTACCCCAACCCCAACCCCGTCATCGGCTCCCGCTACTAGTCCTTCTGCCGAGACCCCTGCTGCACCTGCCCCCGCTGTCGAAGGCCCGGGTGCTTCTGGTCCATCAGTAGAGGGCCCAGGGGCTGGTGGTCCTTCAGCCGATACCCCCGCTAGTGACAACACTAATTCTGCAGGAACGTCTGTTGTTGCCGGTGCCGTTCTTTTTGGTGGGTTCGTTGCTGCTTTGATGATTTAATTTGATGAGATTTTTTTAGATGTTTTTGTTTGTATTTAATTTTGGGTTTAAAATTTTAAATTTAATTACATTTATTGAATTTGGTTGTTGACTGTTGAGGTTTTTGAGGATTATTATTATTATTATTATTTTGGGGATGGATTTCATGGATTCTTAGGTGCTTTTATGAGTAGAAATTCTTTTGTAAAGAATCCCATGTACATGGATTATTATTACTAATAAAAAGTTAATTAATTTTACTGAATTTCACTATGTTTTATATTTTCTCTTGTTTATTGTTTTGCCGTTTTAGCTTTTTTTATGGCTTTTTGGTTTGAATAATTTTTAATAAGCCTAAGTTGTTAAAAGTCTATTTTGCTGGCGTACCAACCTTTTGGTTTAGAACGTGTTTTTTAATACTCCGTATTAAGACTATATCATTAGAACTCGCTTTTCTCCAATTCCTTTTTTTGGTTATAATATTTCATCATACTTAAAATTTATAATTCGTATAAATGAGCAAGCATCCGAGTATAGGTGCATCATGCATCCGAATATATATAAAAGTCTTTTCATGAGTCTAGTTATGATGCAGAGTCAAGAATCAGTCTGATTTAGTAGTTAAAATTCCTTTTCCAACCATATGATCGAGATTTGATTCGATTTGATTTTCACCCCCAAAAGATTGTTCCTTAATTTTCTCCCAACTTGCAAAATATCGTTCAGGGTAATTTTGAAAATATCTAATTTGCCATAACGGAATATATTTTCACTCGCCCTGTTATATTGGCACCACCTAAGGCCAAGATAAAAATATGGTCCTATTTGTGTGTGACTTAGTTTAAACTTTTTTTCTTTTTACAATCAAAATTAGTTTACACTTGTAAAAGCCACTTTAACCTTTCCTCCTAGGAGAACAAATATGTAAACCATGTGTGTACTTTGTGATATTACTGATATCAAATGTCATTCATTGTTGAACTTATGCGATGGTCTTCCCGGAATAGATTGGTAATGGCCACATACACTTGTACCGTATATTGTAACATAACGGGATTTTTTCCACTAAAACAAATTTTCATTTGTATACTTAGTTTCTTTTTTCCACTAAAACCAAATTTTCAAATGAGTTCAAATTGGCATAAACACGTGACCAATACCACGGTACTAGTAAAGTACGTAGTAAGTAGTAACTACTCTTGGCCTTTTGAGTCCTCCAGTCCAATCTAATGGTTAACTTACTTCGTACTAAGCTATGTAGAGGGGGCAGTGAATATTCAATTGACTAGGGTCCTCCAGTTCAATCTAAGATAGCGTGTTTAAGAGATTAAATTGTCCCATTGGCCATAATAAACAAAAGAAGAACCGAAGAAGTATAATGCCCTTAAATGATGAGTTGGCTACAGTCTTATAAGAGGGCTGGGCCAAAGGGAGAAACTTTGGAAGGGCTGGTTGTTTCCTTTAAGAAATAGAGAAAAATAATACTGTACTTTTGCATTATTGATGGCTAATACTAGTAAACCAATTAAAATCCACTCGTTAAAGTACAGTAATTCAGATAGTCAAATTAATTAATACAATCAGCTAGTAAAATCAGTTAATATAATCAGATATATCAATTAGCTACTAGCTAATCGTCAAAAAAGATACTTGTCTTATTTGAACTTATCAACACTTAACTTATTCAAAGTATAGTCATATTTAATCTTTATAATGTCTTATTATATCTTATGAACCTCGAGCTTAACTTTTAATTGCCCGTATATGAGCTATATCATCTTATCTTAACTTCATAAATTATGCTTAAAATGAGCGAAAAAAGTGAGAAGAATCAAACCTAAATCTTTTAAGTAAGAAATATTGGCAAAATGACAACCTATTTCAATATAATTTTGCTAATATAACAAAAGTCGATGCATAATGTGTTGAAAGGTCCCTTGATGAACTCCCAACACCTAGAATGTTTATTGACCACACTAATGTTAACTGTTTGAACTGCCAAGAGTATCAACTTACGAACCCTATCCTGTTAAAAAAAATGCAATTTCTATAAAAGAAATCTAACTCACAAAAAAAAAAAAAAAAAAAAAAAAGAGAAGGATGAGTTTACTCTGTCCTTAGGATAATATTAGCCCTCCCATATAATGCTGTTGGAAACAATTATGCTAATTTACTCCTATTACTTAGAATGAAAATACAGCATAATTTTACATTCTCCATGGACATGAAATTTTGTGAAAAATGTAGAATGAGAAAGAAAAAGATAAACTGAAAACTTAACACTGCCAAAAGATGTATTTACAGAGATTAATATGACAGTTATTTATCCAAAAAAAAAAAAAAACCTGCCATATAATCTTGTCCGAAATTATCAATTTAATTAATTAAAAATAAAAAATTAAATTAACATAACCGACAATGTTAAACTTGCTTAATTAACCGCGCGTGTGCCACGTACCTAAGAGCTAATCTATGATTAGTAAATATTTTGATAAATACACTACTAATCATCCACTAACAAAGCCATAACCAAAGGCCGATCAAATAGGCGCAAAACAAATCAACTATACATAGCCCACTCAAGTTAATAAAGACATCCAAAATATCTTAATCTTTCCATGTCAGAGAATGTTTCCCCTTTAAAACTCTCATATTGAATACTATACATAGCATATCCAAGTATCCATCTTTCCAACTCCAAGTGTTGAAAATAATGGGCTACAAATGTTGCATAAAGTCTGCTTTGCTGGACTACATGTCTACTTCCCTGGGCTTTTAACTGGGCCGTGTTAGATGGGTTCTGCCTGCTCAATGACACGTGATTAGGACTATTCAAAGCACGTGCTGCTGTGGCCAGCTGTCATGCCTCATGGGCAATTGGCACCTTGCATCTATCCGCATGACCGCTCCTGTTTTATCGGTAACATAGAATTCTTAGGGGAAAAAAACAAAGGAAAAACTGATATAAATTGTTTCAAACTATTTTTGTTCATTAAGGTCTTAGCTAATTACCGAGCTTGCCTCAGTTAATTTCAATGATAAACAATTTTTATTTATCATATGGCAATTTTATAAATATATTAATAATTCATACAATCACTATTAACTGTGGAGCCCACATTAATAAAAAAGTTATTGATTAATTAACGAAAATGCCATGTGATAAACAGTTTTTGTTTATCACTGAGAGAAACTTGTATTTTCCTCTAATTACCTATCAATTTATACTTCACGATTAAAAGACCATTATTAATAATTTTGAAACAAATACTTCCTCTATCCTGTCTTACTCACAATAATTTGACATTTGTGAGTATTAACAAATTTGGAAGAAAGTACTACTTTTTGTGTGCGCGTCATAGATAATCATGTTTGTGGAGATATTTCACTTTGACTTTATGTTATAACTTTAGTTGTTGGTAGCATTAAGGAGGGAAAATATGTAAACATATATTTTTAAGAGTTAATTTAAAGAAGACAATTAACATTAGTAATAGAAAATAAATAAATAAACATTTTAAAGGATAAAATTGTTCAAACACTATTTATAAGAGTTTTTTCAAACTTTTTAAATAAGAAAGAATCAAATCTAAGTATTCTTTTTTTCTTTGGGATGTAGCAGCAACAAGACAAAGCCTTATTTGATGGGCTTAGCCCATAATCCTTTGCACATGTGCTTCTACATATCTAATTCTTTACACCTATGGGCTATAGTAATGGAAGAAATTAACGTTATCTTTAGAATATGGTACGGTTTAAATCTAAATTATACAGTACTTGGCATGTAAAACGTTTCATTAATAGTTTTGTCACTTTTGTTTTGACTTATTCAGCATGCTTTTCCGATTCTTCATGCTTAAAAATTCAATCATTATGTCTCTTGAGTCTTGAGTCTTGACTCTCATCTCTTGTAAATTGTAATAGAATGCTAGAAAATGATTGCAGTACTCTCGTTAACGATATGGTTTTATTTAGCATTTTGTAATACAACTAAGAAAATGATTTTCAAAAGTTAAATGTGTTCACACCTGCATTAGTTTGGGCATTACTAAAACTATGATTTCATTGTTGTGTTAGCGTGTTAGTCGTAACTCGAGTGACTCGTGAGTTTAGATTTTCTGTAAAGCGGTTAGGCCATCACATATTCTGTTATTCACATTATCCCATATGAAAAGGACATCACCTGCCTCAACTTTGGTTATCCTCTATTTCACAATTACGTACAAATTAAAGTATGGAATACATGTTTGGTAATGACTAATTAGTCATTAGTGCCTGTAACTGCTTCGATAAAAGTTGGTTATGTTGACTAATTTGACTAGAGGGCTGTTAATACACAGTAATTATTTAGTACGGAGTAACATTTACTAATATGGAGTATATACTTGAATTGTATCTGTTTTGTTATTTGAACATTGGATCGGAAATGACTCAAATGAGTTATAAATTGCTTATTTGGCTGATTTTTTTTTTATAAGTTTGGTTCATTAGGATAATTGGTGTTATCTTACGAAATATAGTAAGGTGCTAAAATTGTTTCTTACGGAGTAAGGTTCCATTTACTTTACCTTATTTTTGTTGAACTGAAATTATTTTTGCTGAATTTAAATTATTTTTACTTAACTAAAATTTATTTTAATGAATATTATTTTTTTAAGGTGAAGTGGACAGGGCTTAATAAACAAGAATATTATAACTTTTTTTTATATACAAATAATACAATTGGTGATTTATTCTCATAAACAATTTTTTCAACCAAATTTTTTGTGATCCCTATTTTTCCAATCGTAAAAAGAAAATACTCAACCACAAATTATTATTTTTTATGGTAATGAATTGATGTGATGGACAATGCTATAATCAAACCATATAAGCAAAAATGTTCTACTAGAAATTAAATAGTACTCCCTCTATCCCAGTTTACTTGCAACATTTTAACTGGTCACGCTTGCCGATGCACATGTTTGACTATTGATATCTTTTATTATATATTTATATAAGTTATAAAAAGTTTATATTAAATAACTATATATTAAAATAGACCCAATAACATCATTACATAATTACATTGACTTTCATATAATAGTTAAAAAAGATGGTCAAAGGGAGTTGTGTGAATAGTAAAAAAAAAAATCACTGCGAGTAATTTGGGACGGAGAGTGTATGAAATGCTCTTGTCAAGATAATAAATGAGGTTTCTTTAATTTTTTTTTTTTTTTTTGTTTTTTTCTTTTACTTTCTTGGAGTTTATGATAAGTTGCACGAGTTAAACG